ATAATTATTTCAATTGGCAATTATCTTAGGAATAGAAACTTGCAAATTAGAGCATTAAATGATTAAAAGTTGTTATCTGAAAGCTGCTGCTATTTCTTTTTTTTGGAAAGCACCATAATTATGGATTTGCACATAGAAATCAAAGTGCTTTAGGGAATGTGCGGTTAATTCTTGCCCCCTTTTTCCCCTCAGAGTCTCTGCTATTTGTCAGCTCTTATCCACTCCTTAAAACTTTGGTTTTTAAACCATGAGAACCATCTAAATTTAATCAGGAGGGTCTCAACTTTTCACTACACTGAAGATGCTGTAGCTCAGGGGTGGCCAACTTGTGGTGCTGCAAGTGACATGGGCATCCTCTGTCTGTGACACATGGCAGATTGGGATGGAAGGAGCACCATGGCAGATAGGGATGGAAGCACAAAGCAAAACAGCAAGTCAGTCAGGGAGCCCAGGGAAGGGAGCAGAAAGCTGAGCAGCAGTTCGGGGATGGGGAGGGGATTGGGGTTGTACTTGGTTGGGGGTGCAAATTTGTGGCACACCGGCCAAAAAGGTTGGCCTATACTGTGGTAGATGATGTTTTATGATCTTTCCCAGTAGGTTCATCTCTGTGTTGAGCAAGAGACAGGGTGCAAGTTAGTGTCCAGCACCCATATGAATCATCAAGTCAAAAGATCATTCTCTTCTGTTCTATGGCAGGAACAAATGGATAGCTATTTCCTTTGCCAGATTTTGCGGAGGTGCAAACTGATTTTGCTCTTCTTTTTATAATTGATGCTATAAAAGGTGATTGAACAATGAAACCTGAGATAACAGAGACAGTAGATGTATCTGGTTCTGGAGACAGCTCCTCTTTCCAAACTTTGCCCTGACTTGATTGATTAATGTTAAAAGGAAAGCTTGTTTCTCTGTGACTTTTCATTGTGATGACTGTGAAGTCAGACTAGCAGATCTTAATGATGTATGTGTCAAGAGATGTTTTCTTGAATAGGGACCATAGTCCTTGATTTGTTGGCAGCTTGTCCTCTTTTTCAGCAGATCCACTGATTCGCACCAGAACTGGGGCATGCAGTTACTCTAATTGAAGAGCAATAGCTTTAATTGAATGTGTAAGATGGCAAATGTAAATGAAAACTGAAATAACATTTGGTACATGGCTGTTCTAGACTTGAGGAAGTGTGCGTTTCTTGCACTGTTTATTGTTAACACTATAGTGCAGTAATAACTTAGGTGTTTGACTGTGCCTTAAAATCACATCTCTTTGGCAGTTTTAAATTCACTTATGGGGGTGAAACCCAGCTCCTGCTTTTGAAGTTGGCTGCAATGAAAAAGGGTGCTGCAGACAACAATCTGTGGTGATACGTAAGCAAAAACAATGCTTGGACCTTCAATGGAGTGGAAACTGAGCTCTCTTATGCTGCCCAAATTTGTGTCCCTGCTTAGTAGTACACATAGACATCTCACACATACGTATGCAAATGAACTTCTCATGCATGCATTTGGTTGGCTTGTGCATGCAGTCTGAAGTATACATATGCATGGAGTTCTGTACCTTTTTTGAAATATGGCCTTTAAGCTATAATAAAATACTTCGCCAGTGTTGTGTTTTTTCTTTTTACCATGTTGCTTTGTGAATGGCATCAAATGTTTGGTTTTTAAGAACAGCCTAGTTCAGGATGTTATAAAAGAGAATTCCTCACCCAATTGGCTACAGTATGCTGGTCCTGAGCTTTTCTTATATGACAAACTTTCTTTAAAACAAAACACCATAATCTTGCTGTGAGGAATGTTACGTAGTTGGCTATTATTTACCAGTATGTTTCTGGCTGTTTTCTGCGAATAGATGTCCAATATATGTCATTTCAGAAAGTGGAGTCCTGTGGAGCCTTGTGTAGCTATATCAGTATGAAATCTCATTTGCCAGCTGACAATCCAGCCCCCTAGCAGTTTCATATCTCTATGAAACTCTCACCTGCTGCTCATTCTGTATTCAGTACTTGTTCTCAGTTGAATCTTGAGTATTATCTTTTCCTCCAATTGTGACTAATTGCTTAGCTCTTAGAGAAAGAAAAAGTACTATTAAGAGGTTTTGAAGCATTTTCAGGAAGTTTAGTGTCTTTCCATTTCTGTGGGGCAACATTTTGTCCATTAAAACCTGGTCACTTTTATTTATTTATTTTTTTTTGCAGTAAGATTCTTCTTTTAATATTTACATCCAGTTAATGGAACTCTGATCTCCTGATTTCTAGTTGCTTTTTAGTATCTCCTTTTGTGGCTACTCTTCCCAAGCCCTTTCATTTTCTTTTATGGATACATTTCATGATCTCCAAGATGGAGCTGCTTTCACTCTCTTCCTTTCTTGTCACTCCTTTGTACTTCTCTTCTAGGTTTGTAATTACAGTGTCACTCCCAACTTCCTTCTTATTCTTCCCTCCTCAAAATAACCAAGATCACTAGGTCCTGGTACTCTTCCTCTTCTACTTTGCCATGACCGTAAGCTGCTTTGTTAGGTGCAGTGCTGAGATTTTTAGGCCAGGCCTTGTTGATCTACTTGTTTATCACAGAGCTGGTATATATCTCCTCACTTTCTCCTTTCCCCTCTTTCCTGTCTCTTCAGATTATGGTCTACCAAGGTAGTAGACCCTCTGATTGCTGAAGAACACTTCAGTAGAGCACACTTGGGGGGTGCATAAACACAAATCTGGCTGCTTCATTTTTTTTTCCTTTCTGATTTATGTAGAAACTCATGTTTGACTAGAAGTATGCTCTCATGGGCTAGGAACAGAAGTTACGCACAAACCGGTTTAAGTAATCAGAAACTGATTTAAACCTGTTGCAGAACAGAAGCTCAGTGCACATAAACCAGTTTTAAAATGGCTAAAACAGGTTTAAGATAAACCTGGTTGAATGTAGACTTAAATGATTTGGGTCAAACTGGTTTATGAAACTTCTGTCGCAGACCCCTTCCTAAGTTCAGATTAACTCAAAGTTCCCCAGCATCCCAGTATGCTTTCCAGCACTGGGCTGGGCTGTGTCTGCTCCAGCAGAGAAGGGTTGGGGGCTGGGAGGGGGGGGTGAGTGGGGAGAGGCAGAGACTGTGCCCCCCAGGCAAACTCTGTTAAGGGCCAAGGAGGGGGTTAAACCCACTTTTCCCCTGAGTAGAGCTGCCCTGCTGCTAAACTTACTGAAAGTTACTGCGGTCTGTGACTGGACTACAAATCCCAGAGGCACCTGGAAGCAGGAAGAAGAAATGATGAACAGCCCTGGAGAATTCTGCTGTTGTGACTCTGGACTGCAAATCCCAGAGATGTCCTGGGCAGCAGGAAGAGGAAGTGAACACACAGCCCATGCTGGCTTCATGCTGGAGTGGCATGCTCTAGCGCCCCCTGGCATCTGGCTTGAGCCACTGCAGGCATGTGGCTATATTCCCTGAATCAAAAGTAAATATGCATGTCCAGTTCTTTCTCAGTTTAATCTCTGCAGTTTAGACTAACCTGCAAAGACTAAATTGATTCAGCCTCAGGCTCTTTGACTGCCCATACCTAGCCATGATGCACAATTCCTGC